ATCAGATTTTTTTTTTATAGAAGGATTTGCTCCCTTTCTTTTCTGACTCTTGACTGAGCTTTAAGTGATAGCTGTACTACAGTTTTATGGTAACCAGATACAAAGTGTCACTCAAAAGAGCTCATATAAACAACTAAGGAACACAGCCTATGGCAGACACCATCTATTCTTAGCGGGTAGGGATATATACTGTTCATATCGATGAGTTCTTGAAGAATTTCAAGTACACTACAATTGATGTAGTTCTGTTTTTTTTTTTTAAACACATCACCAAATACAAATGTTCAGATCGCTGACTTTTCATCAGTCTAGAAAGCTGTTTATAGAGTTGGTTAGCTCAGTTATGGATTTTTTTTTTCCCCAATATCAGAAGCCAGCATAGCAGATGTGTGGGTTGTACTGCACAGATAGTTTTAACCAGCAGTGTTAGTCTTATATTTTGCAGTATTGAGTGCCCAAATATGTGCAAAGGAAAATACAGTCCACAAACTGTCCTGAGGTTCTATCACATCTGCAAAACTTAATACACTTTACAAGAACAGACTGTCTCCCTCAGATTTTCTGCTCTAATCTCCCTCTAGAGACAAACTTTAGCAACTAATCTATGGTTCTCATTCAGGCCAGACTGTGCTTTTTTTAGATGCTTGGGCAAAGATCTCTCCAATGAAGGGCTTCAGTTCTGCAAGGAGAGAAACTGAGGCCATCTGAAACTTAACCTGTTCATCCTCAGTCCGTAGAGAACCATAAAAACACAGCGTCTCTTTAATGGAGGTGAAGCCACCTTCATGTTCATGGAAAACATGTAGTCATCACTCTCCCAGTCACTGTCCTGGCAGTAACTGTGTCCCATTAGCTCTGCTAAACATCTCGGTGTGTTGTTGTGGGGTTTTCTGTGCAGTATCCTCCCGTCAGAGTTGCCAGCAGCCCCTACCTGATGCTTACTGGCTGCCCTACAAACACTCCTCATGGTCCTTCCTACCCACTTCGGGAGCTGACTCGGAAGTTCTTCTGAAAGTTCAGAGCTAAATCCACCCCCAGCAAGAATGAAGTTATCAGTTCAGGCAAAACTACCTTATTCTGTTAATGCTAATTAAACTAAAAATGGAATGTAATCTAGGTAGTTTAGGCCATACCACTGAGCAAGGACAAACATACTGAGGCATTAAAGGATCTTGGTAATGTGGTAAGAGACAGTCAGAAAAGTCATGAAATAATGACACATTTCAAAGAGCACTGTAATAATCTTAAAAGTAGATGAAATACAGCAGCTGTGGCCCTCACACCGCATTTACTGAGAAAAGCTTCCATTTATTTCCAAGTTGCTATTTCTTTTGAAGAGGTTTTAATCATGAAAGCTGATTTGATTGGCAATGTCCACATTGAATCTTGTTGAATAAATAGTATGGCACATTTTGCTAATTAATTGGAGAAGCTGAAGAAAAGATTAAGCAAAAGCAATCAGACTTTTTGAAAAGCCCTGGTGTAATGTTCAAAGCACCATTTAACATAAACTGTGTTTCTTTTACCAACTTGCTCCTTTAGTTGTAACAAATACAATAGTAACGACTGTCAGTTAAATTTTTGTACTGATCTGGAATACAAAGTCATTGAGTGAAGTCATGTATGCTCTGCACGGCTTGTGGAGGCAGTGAAAAGAATTCTTAAAGCAGAAAAGTAATTTGGCAGAGTAGCTGCTATAAACTCTTCAGTGCATGCTTATTATTGTTGAAACAGTTTTTTGGACCCACAAATTATAAAGCTATGGAATAAGAGTTTGCATCATTTTATATAAACTGCTGTAATTCTAGCCACTAAACTGCAGATCTGCGTAAAGCATTAAAGAGGACATAAAAAAAAAGCTGAATGACAACCAATTTATATGCAGTTTTATTCCTGGACACCACTTTGCCCACACAACATATGTTTCGTGCTGAATTTAGAGGCACACTCATGTCCATTATGTTGCATTAGTCTAACACAACAAAATCATGATCCAGATATCAAACCTATACAGTTTGAGAGAAGCAAAAGAGAATTGAAAGAAAAGGTAGACAAAGCTTTATTGCTTGCAAGCAAAACAATAGCATATAGGTATTCTGAATTGCACAATTACTGATATGGTTCATTGAGTGTGCATAAACACAGTAAGTGCTACAGGCAGTGTAGCAGTGCTCTGCAGTGTAAGAACACCTGCTGCACACCTGAACAAATAGTTGGGGAGGAACAATGAAATTCGGTGTGTCTGAGACAGCACGAAAGGATCTTCTATTCCAAGGTCTCATGTTTCAATGGAAAACAGTTGCTTTTCTTTAAACAAAAAGCTGTGCCTCAAAAAGTATCTGAGCTAGGAATGGGAAGGCACTGAGGCTCAGAAAGCTGTCTGAGGTGAGGCCCTTGGTATCGCACCTGTAACATCCTACAAGTCTGAGTTCAAAGAGCAATGCCAGCCAAAACAAGAGTAGAGCTACGGTTAAAAGACACCTTGCTGTGTCTTGTATTTGCCCCAAACATTCCCATGCTATACTCAACCACAGGAAGGCTTGAATAAAAAAGTTGGCAACAGAGTGGTATGCAAACTATGAATTAAAAATGAGCAGTCCCACTGAATTGGTGTATGTATAGTTCATTTAAAAAAAAAAAAAAAAAAATCCCAGGGATGTGTTGTCACTAATGTCTGAGACCAGCAGCTAAAAGTTAATCTTTCCAGAGACGGCCGGCCTATTGCAGAACTTGCCTATTAGCATAGCATATTTCAATATGACTACTAAGAAATAAAGGTTGCTACAATTAGGCTTTAACTTAACTCCTTTCAACGACAGTTCAACCTGTTCCTCACTGGAATCCTATTATGCTTTTCCAGTAAGGTGTTAAGACAACAACCCAGACTTACTATTTATGGAGCTAGTGACTCTTAAAATACGCTCTGAAGTAAGTGGCTATTCCCTTAATCTGTGACCTTAAAATTCAGTAAGAGTTGGTGTCTTGTTGCTCTTATGTACTGAGCTGCCCATCAGCCAGTGATCCAGTCCGGCTGGTGCTGTACCACTTGCTGACGTTGCTGCTGAATGTGGATGCAGCGTAGCTCACTGGGGACATCCGCCATGAATTTACCTGTATGAGTTGTCTGTCACCTAGTGTCCTCCCACCAACACCCTCAGTGTGGGGGCTAATAATTAAGATTATTTCATGTTAAAACTGAAGTAGATTAAGCTGAGAAAGATTAACAGGAATTGTGAGGACAGGGAAGGAAAGCAGAAGATTAATGACGACAGCCAAAATGGAGCTCTTTCAGCCAGATAAAACTTAACAGTGACCAAAAATGGAAGAACAAGTTCCTCTGCGAAGTTGCCTCACATCAGACATCACAGAACAGCCCAGGGCATGACCTTGGGCCCAAGGCAGGTCATGCCCATGAGCTCAAAGCCTGCAGGCACACAGGGAAGCACACACTCTTTTCACTGTCCATCTATCATGACACTTTGCTTCCCTCTCCTGCCAGCCTTAATTTCTGCTTCCTAACAATATCACTGCCTGGTAGCCGTTTAAAAGTGATTAGAAAAAGGGAAAGCATAAAAGTAATAATCAGTAGCAAACATCAGGAAGCAGACCTGTTCCATTCGAGATGGAGCCATGACCTCTGCAAATGCAAAGCTATCAAACAGAACTTTCTAGATCACTCGGAAACACATCATTAGTACTTGTCACACTGGGACTTAGCTTATTGTGGAAAAGTCATTAGTTTCTTTTCAGATTCTCTGGAGAATTTCCAAAACCTAGCCCTTGCATTTCCTCAGGTTGTTCATATGTAATTTCATATTTCGGCCATTGTTAGCTGGTACAGTACACACTGTTCCTAGCTTAAATCCATAATTACAGTAGCCTACCTAAGGGAAAGTAGTGAGGTGCTCTGCCGTTGTGGCTTCCACTCTTAAAAGGAGGTAGACAATACGAAAATCATACTTACAACAGCCCTCCGCTGAGGTTATAAAGTCTTTGGAAGGCATCTTAAGTTAAGGAGCTTAGATTGTCATGCTAAGAGCAGATTGTGTATAGAACAGCTATGCTATGTATGAGGCCATTAAGATTTCTCTTCAAACATTGAATTAAAAACACCCTGACCTTTAAATGGAGTTCAGTGGTGGTATTTAGTGGTCTTTGATAAAGTGTAAAGCTGTTTAGATCACAGCAGCTTGCTGGCTAACTCTGCAAATGACCTTCAGAAGTGTCCATTGTGCATTTTCTTTACAGAGTATCATGACTGGAACTGCAGCTCTTCTAGCATTTTGTTGGTGCAGTCGTGTTATGGTCTATGGTTTCATTCTCTTACCTTTGTGCAGGAGCAGAGTGCGTACCACCTGACACTATCCTTAGAAACGCAAAGTACAAAGCAAATGTTAACTTCACTTAAAAATGACACAAAAATTCAACTTTTCCTTGGTTTATTACTCACCCAGAGCTCTTCCTAACTTCTTCCTAGAACGTTACCTTCCCATGGTTGGGCAGCGTGAGGCTTTACTTCTAAGGCTGCTGTCAGATGGTCCTGTAGGAGGCTGTAATTCCCAGACTTCCTACAAGACCCCCAGCCTTTAGGAATGCTCTTTTGGTCCATTTCACGCCTTTTCCTTATTATGTTTTGTTTCTAAGGTAAATCTATTCTTGCAGGAAAAAAAACAGCTTAATTCTCTTGTGGCTGTGGTTCAACTCCAATGAATCAGATTTAAAAATAATAAATAATGTTGAGTGCAAGAGAAAGATTCAGAATGTTCATGTCTTGTGATAACTGGAAATCATTTTCTCATGGCATTACTGTATGTGCCTGTCTTTTAAAGAATTAATTATATCAAATGATCTATGAGCCTAGAAAGCTGAAGACGTTTATTAAGTTGTGAAAAGCAAAAGATACTTGTGGTGTGCCTTTAGCAATTATAGGTCTGAGAAAAAATGTTCACTCGGCAAAACAAAAACAACTTTTAAAGGTTGTTCTCTGTGGAAAACACTCTATGCCCCATTACCTGCTGGAGTGAAACCAGACTAAGAACTTCTGTCATGGCAGCTTTTCTGCTGGGAGCTGCGTTGCTTATTGTTCAACCTCAGATAGTGCCTTCCAGACCGGCTATAAATTCTAAGGCTGAGGCTTCTTCTCAGTCTGTTCAGAGAGAGCTTTTAACGAAAACATCTCAAAAAAATGACTTCAAGGAAAACATTCATTCTAATGGATCATGCCGGCAGCTGCCACAGACTATCATTATTGGAGTGAGAAAAGGTGGGACAAGAGCTTTGCTAGAGATGTTGAGTCTCCATCCAGACATTGCAGCAGCAGAAAGTGAAGTTCACTTCTTTGACTGGGAAGATCATTACAGAAATGGATTGCGGTGGTATATTAATCAAATGCCATTCTCTTATCCCCGTCAGATCACCGTGGAAAAAACTCCAGCGTATTTTACATCACCTAAAGTGCCTGAAAGAGTTTATAACATGAACCAGTCAATGAGACTACTCCTTATTTTAAGAGACCCAAGTGAAAGAGTACTATCAGATTACACCCAAGTGTTCTATAATCACATGCAGAAGCACAAGCCGTATCCATCCATTGAACAATTCCTGATTAAAGATGGTGAACTCAATGTGGACTACAAGGCAATAAACAGGAGCTTGTACTACCTTCACATGCAAAACTGGCTGAAGTATTTTCCTCTTGATCGTATCCACATTGTAGATGGGGATAAACTAATCAAAGATCCTTTCCCAGAAATAGAGAAGGTAGAGAGATTTTTAAAGTTATCGCCACAGATAAATGCTTCAAACTTTTATTTCAATAAAACTAAAGGCTTCTACTGCCTAAGGGACAGTGGTAGAGAGCGTTGTTTACATGAGTCAAAAGGACGAGCACACCCACAAGTAGATACCCGGTTACTTGAGAAACTGCATGAGTATTTCCACGAACCCAACAAGAAATTTTTTGAGCTTGTGGGCAGAACATTTGACTGGCACTCATTTGTGGCAAGTTAGTGGTAAGCTTCAGAACCTGTGTTCCAGTGTACATGTAGAAATTTTAAAAAGGGCATTTAAGCTATAATTTATTTGTAAAATCCATAAATACTTCTGTACAGTATTAGAGTCACAGTTGCCATATATACTAGTTATATTTTTCTACTTGTTAAATTTGAAAGCATTTTGTATTGTTTTTCATGGTTGTTAACATTGTGTATGATGTGTCTATATGAAGAAACTAAATTATTTCACTGCAGAAGATGATCTCTTGAGAATGCGTTGTCTTTTTAATAAATAAGATCATTTCAACAGAACCCTTCAGAATTATTTGAATACTTTGGACTTTCTGGACTATTCTGTACTTTCTCCTCTAATGCTAATGAATATGCTAAACTTCACATTTCCATTTTTCTTGCTTTAAAATGTTTTTTAATATTTTTTTCACTTGAAAATGTTGTAGTTATCAAACTGTTCCATCTTGCTTTAAAATAATTTCCTAGTAAAGTGGTGGTACTTATACATGTTGGGACATGCACACCCAAAGGACAATGGAAGTCTCTGTGTAATATGACACATTAACTGCTGTACTTACCTTTGTATTTACTGTTACAACAAACGGGCCTCAAATTTTTTGGCAGTACAGTGCAGGTTTCGTGGCAGATTTTTAAAGATTCTGTGGGGACCAGCTCATAAAATCCAGAGTTAGCTGCAGAAATATGGTCAACCTGAAAGCTTCCTCCAGTCTCTGAATGTATGCATACTTCATAAAGAAGGAGGGTTGAGAGAAGAATTTAAGCAATATAGGTACATTTTCAAGGTTGCTTATGACTCTTCCTACATTTTATAGCACATTAATGCTTTGCCATCACTGAAAATGAACACTTACACCAGATAAATTGGTTGGTCTGCATTCCAATGAGCAGCAACTTCATTCATATAAATATAACCACATTTGTCCCCTATTTAAGCCTGTTTCCTATGAGTTAAGCGGGTGCTTCATGCAACTGAAAATTGCCCATGGACTACTGTTCATTTAATCTTTTGAGAACCATGATGTCGAGTCTTGATTAGACTTATGTGTTGTGGGATTAATTCCAATTCCAGGAACTCTTATGGTCTTCCATCTGCTAAAAATGGAAGGTAGATGCTAGTACATTGGTGAAAATTAACAGCTCTCCCTGTTTACAGTAGTTATGACGTCCTGTTAGCCATCAGTTTCTGGAGTTAGTTAATCCTCTTTCCACATAAGGCTTACTATGGTACTTTCATTCTGAGCTCCTAATTTTCGTTTTATGATCTTGAGTTTAGCTGTTGAATGTGCAATAGCAACAGCCTGCAAATTTGAACTTGTAACTGATTGTTACAATCCTTTATAAAACTTAAATGTAGATTTTTTTTTGTTTGTTTCTGGTGAGATGGTGCAAACTTGGGCACTATGACAAGGTACTGTCTGGATGCAAATATCCCATATTATGCTGCTTGCATGAAAATTTGCAGATGCTGCCCCTTTCTCTCCCACTCCTTGTGCACCTGCCCAAGCTGTATTCAACCTCAGAGAGGTTGGTCGTGTTTTATAAAGTAGACCTTTGACAAAAGCCTACAATGAAATCATATTGTACTCAATAAAATATTTTATGAATTGCATCTTTTCTTTCTTATTTGTTCATTACTTTCTAGTTTGGAAGACCAGAATTTAGGATTCAACTCCAGTTTAGATTCCAGTTAAATGTTCAAGTTTAATGTTCAATGTCCGGCTCAAGAAAGATGAGGAGCTACTGGAGAGAGTCCAGGGGAGGGCTACAAAGATGATGAGGGGACTGGAGCATCTCTTCTATAAGGAAAGGCTGAGGGACCTTGGCTTGTTTAGCCTGAAGAGGAGAAGGCCGAGAGGGGACCTTCTAAATGCCTATAAATATCTTAAGGGTGGGTGTCAAGAGGATGGGGCCAGACTCTTTTCAGTGGTGCTCAGAGACAGGACAAGGGGCAACGGGCACAAACTGAAACAGGGGAAGATCCAGCTGAACACGAGGAAGAACTTCTTCCCTCTGAGGGTGATGGAGCAGTGGAACAGGCTGCCCAGGGAGGTTGTGGAGTCTCCCTCTCTGGAGATATTCAAGACCTGCCTGGAGACACTCCTGTGCAGCCTGCTCTAAGTGACCCTGCTTTGGCTGTGGGGGTTGGACTGGATGACCCACAGAGGTCCCTTCCAACCCCGAACATTCTGTGATTCTGTTACTTAAGAATTTAGCTGTAGCCTAGTGGATTGATTGGAAAGCAGTTTGCTACTGGATTGTGCCTTTATGGTCCATTGCTGACCCAGAATATACAACAAGGAGGGAAAGTTTCTGGTGGCAGTAATGTCAGATCTTAAATGAGGCAGATGCCAAATATAACAGGGTTATAGTACCATCATGCTCTTATTAATGTTTTAGAAAAGAGAAAATCAGGGAATTTTGTGTAAGGTGAGGCAGTATTTTTTTTCTACAGTCATTATTATCCCATTTCCTTGCTAATGTGATCTCTGCAGGAGCCATCTGGACCTATGAGATTTTGTCTCAGATGAAAGTCTTCCCACCTTAGTATAGTCTTACCTTCACTAGTGCCTCTCTGCAGTCCCAGATGAAGCCCACCATATTCACCAGCTTTTTGCTGGGAAAGGAAAAATACCAGAGTGTGTGACCAGGAAGCAGAGGAGTACAAAAAGGCAGGGTTGCATCCGGTTCACCTGCAGCAGGTCATACAGGGCAGCACAGGGCATAAGTGTTGAATTGTGAGTGTCAGAGCACTATTGACACCTGATGTTGGTACTGAGAATACTTTTAGCTGTATAACGCAACTTGATACCAGTACCTTGCTTGTCACTTAGCAGGACACATGCACGTGTTGCCCGCTGTCCAGTATAGCTTGTCTCTGTAGAAAGAGAAGTAGACCATGAACTGTTGGGTCACTATTACTGTGTTAGTGCTAGGACCTCATCGCATGTTCTCTGTAGGATCAGGAGGTGAAGTGACCACTTCAGGGAGACATCCTGAAGCAGAAGCTCACGACTCATGCCCTAGACCCTAAGTTCAAAGGGGCCCACAGACAGTATGTCATATTGAATGTATAGGCCTTGAGAAGGGATGGCATGATTGTACAACACCTTATCCTGGAGATTGCACAGCTAGCTGTCTGGTAGCCATGGTGATGGACAATAAATCACACCCACACTAACAATAACGGTAATATTTATGCCCTAAGGTCAAGGGTTACAATACTTAAAACTAGAATTTTGAGTGTGAATTTTCACTTTAGCAAGAGCAACATTCCCTTTCCATACATGCATTACTGTATTTAAATATATTTGTTAGACTATTCTAAAGAAGTGCTAAACAACAACAAAAGCCAACAGAAGAATTTGAAGAAAGAATGAAAGAAGCTGAAGCACATTCTGATTGGGACTGTAGAAACACTAACAGTGAGTTTTGAAGTCATGCCATATCTATTCATAAAAGAAGAAAAAAAATCCCTGAAAATACCTTTACAGTGTTATGAAGTACAGGTGTTTATTTCTGTAAAACTCTGCCATCTCAGGTATAAAGTACAACCACTTGGGTGTTGCTCCGGAGGCCTGTTTCCTCAGGGCAGCTAGCCAAGTCTGTGATCACTCTTGCAAATATAACACTTTATGAGAATTCAATGTCCAATTCAAAGCCTACCACTCCCCTTGAGTTCGCGAAGAAAGGCTAATCAAGTCATTAATCAGGGTGGCACTGCAGGACTAAGTCTTGCCCTTTGCTTCACAACGCAAATTAGGTGAGTCTTTGAAAGCCAGATATTGTACCTGCAGAGGACTTAGTTTAAACTGTAATGATCATTGCATGAACACTGCTGCAAGAGTGTGGAAAGGGACAGAAGTCTCCTAGGAAAAAAACCCCAAAGTTATTAATTCATCAAGACTATTGCTACATCTACTGTTGGTGCTTTATGATCCTTTCCATGTGCTTTGCTGTTCCTTGTACTGTTTTCCTGATGTTGTAGGTGAAATAACAGCTACTATGCTTGAATAAATCAACATTGTTTTGGAACATCTCCGAAAAAAATCCATCCTTTTTTTAATCTTGCTTGAGCCTATTTGCATTGGGAATATGGTAGTGCTGCATTCATTGATGAGTGTGTGAGATTTACCACCACAGAATATTTCAGATGAAAACTTTGTTACTTTGGGGCTCAAAGCTGATCATTTCATGTTTCCTCGTCTACATGCGTTTTCAGACCCAGTTTCTGCAGAAAGCTGAGATTCTCATTCCTGGTTGTCACCCACACAGATTCCAAATGTCTAAAGAGAAATAAGATGGGGTAAAGCATATTTCCATATATCTTTCTTCTGCTTTATCTAGCATGGCTGACCAGACATTTAAGAAAGTTCACACATGCACCCCACAAGTAAGAGGCTGTACATCAAACTACTTCTCAGAGGGATATCTCTTCCCCTCTCTCTTTTTCAAAGTCTGAGACTTGAAAGTCCTAATTTAGCTCACATTGTGATTGAAACTTTGCAGAAGTATGTTAGTAGATGTTCTCTTATACAGTAATAAAGTAATAAAACTACAATACGTCAAAAGTATTAAACTAGCATATGTCAATGAAGTGTGTTGAACTTGCTACTAGGTACGTATCAGCTGAAATAGTTATATGTGCCCCTACAGCTGTAACATTACTCTTTTCGCATTCTTAACCCAGTAACTTTTATTTAGATGACCCTAAGTGCCCAGTTACTCTGGAAAGATTGTATATTCAATGTTAATTCCTTCATTTTGCAATTGCGTTGGAAAGGCCAGGTACAGATGGAAGCCATGCAAATATCTTATGAGTGAAAAAAACTTTTATTAATATTTTGCTTACCAAAAATACCTTTCATTTATGTCTCCTAAAATATTGACAAAGGTGAGCAGTGCTCTCTTTTCTTGCAACGATAACCCATCCACAGTAAATTTTCTACTTCACTACCACGCAAGAGTTGATGCAGTTTTTAAGTTAATAGTGCAATAAACTCAACAGTGACGCTGCAGATTTTAAATGCCTTCTGGGATATAAAAAATATGCAAGTCATGGTGGGGAGCAGCTGGATGCATAGGAACAGCTGGTCTCATTGGTCTGAGAACACTTCTTTTTTTGATGATAAGGGATGTGAAATTTTTGGCTTGGATATCTCTTTGTGTTTTCTATGAAAGCAATGTCTTCAATTGACTTCCAAGTCAATAATCCTATCATAATGAC